ACAAGAACTTTTATCTGTTCTGTTCACTGAAGTATCCCAACACATGTAATAATGCTTTGTGTATTGTAAGGTCTCAATATCTATGTGTTTAATGAATGAGCAATAAATACTTATTTCCTATCTTCATAATATTCAAGAAAGAAGGAGGAACTTTCTTGTTACTATAACTAAGGATGGATTTGTGTGATACAGAATTTAAAACCTGCAGGTTTTGCCTCTTGGAAATCAATGTAGACTATGAAACTTTTTTTTATTAGATCTTTTAGCATAGAAAAGGCAGCCACTGGATGGTTATGATTTACTGTTTATACGTGACCCTTTCTGTTGTTGTTGTTATGTGCCCTCCAGTCAGACCCGACTCATAGCGACCCCTCCTTGGGTTTCCGAGGCAGTATCACTACAGAAGTAGATTGCCCCATCTTCCTTCCAAGGAGTGGCTGGTGGGTTTGAACTGCCAGCCTCTGGTTAGCAGTCAAGTGCCTTAGGCACTATGCTACCAGAGCCTTTGATCTATGCTGTCCCTCAACCTTGCTCATCCTCTGCCTCTGCTTTGTCCTTCTCTGGCTACCATTATGGCTTCTGGCTCCCCTTGCTATGCTCATCTTCACCTTTGTTTTTTGTTTTTTGTTTTTTGGGTTTTTTCATTTTTTATTTTAAGAGTTTGTTTTACATTCAACATTACGTGTACATTTAGTTTCACTCCTTATTTACCATCCCCAGCCCTAACCCAGTCTCCTCCCCTCCCTGCCCAGTAACCCTCCCCTCGTGCCCCTCATATTTATGCACTCCTGTGTGTCCTGCATTTCCTCCCTGTGAATGCTGCCTCTCTGGTGCCCCGTGGTCAATTGTTCCAAGGTTGTATTTCCATAGAGTATAGGGGTGCGTCACCCTGGGTTGAATGGTCTGCAAGTACATCTTGTTTACTACTGGACTGAGAGCCAGCCCCAGAAAGTGAGTTTTATTCCAGGCCCAGAATGTATCCCAGGACCATAGTATTGGGGGTCTGACCAGACTCCATCTGACCAGTAATTCTAATCGTCATTGAGTTTTTGGATTTTGTTCCATGTTTTTCCTCCCACTCTTCTTCCATGTTTTTCCAGGATCTCCAGATTTGATCCTTTCCTGAGTGGTTGGCATTGATAGCCAGGCACCATCTAGATCTTCTGGTCTCAAGGGCCATTGTGTCCTAGGGCTAATTGTTTCCAAATGCCCTTGTTTTTTTTTTGCACTCTTCTTTGCTTCCAACAACAGGAGACCATTAGATGCATCTTAGATGGCCACTTGAAAGCTTTTAAGACCCCAGTTGCTACTCACCATTGTAGGATGAGGAACAAGACTTTTATGTATTTTGTTGTACCAACTGAGTCTGGTGTCCCCCAGTACTATGGTCCTGAGTCGGTAGGTCTATAGGACCTCTCTCCCACAGTGTCTGGCTGTCTGTGAGGGATTACTCTATGCCTGTCTTCTGTTGTTCTGTAAGGATTGTGGGTATTTTGTATCACTGGTATCTGTGCAAGATTAGCCTCCGATGAATCTATCCTTGGTCTAGAGTATACTCCTGTTCACTGACCCTCATCTGATCTTCTCAGATGTTTATGCATTTACCTGCAGCCTGGTGTTTGGTGTTAATGGTAATGCAGTATTGTGGATATACTGGTTGGTATTAGCATCTGTCGTCTAGTTGTTGTTGTTGTTGTTGTTGTTGTTATGTGCCGTCAAGTCAGACCCGACTCATAAAAACCCCTCCTTGAGTTTCCGAGGCAGTATCACTACGAAAGTAGATTGCCCCAGTATCTGTTGTCTATATATTATGTGCACAATTCAGTGAACATAATCATCTTCACCTTTGAAGCTTATCTCATCTGGGCTTTCATGTTTCTTAAGCTTAAGTCACTTGGACTTGACTTCATCTGGTTTGGGTTAGACCATTTTATCTGTGGCTTTTGCCTTTGTACAGCCACCCTGCCCAGGAAGTATCTGAAACAATCATTTATTTTATGCTTAGCAGCCCAGCCTCTAACCAACACCCTCATAATTCACACACTTATATAAACATATCCTACAATATCATGGAAACTTCTACGCATGTGCTAACATAAAATCTAAGAAATCAATTTATTTAGATTCTATTTATTTTGCATATTTCATGATGAAATAAATGGCCTTTGCTTTTATTACTTGAGTTCCTGGTTGCAGTATAAAAAAAATCATTGATGTTAGAATAACTTTTATTGCTGCTATGTCTAATTTTTAAGTAAGAATCAGATGAAAACATTATTATTTGAATCACATTTATGAATGATAGTAACGTTTGAATGATATTTGGATTTTCAAAGATTTGACTTTAGCCTTAGTTACTTAAATCTGAAACCAAAAGAGAGTATAATGAGCCTTTAAAATAACATTTAAATAGATCTGCTAGATTCAACAAATGAAAACACAGGATGTCCAGTTAAATTTGAATTTCAGATAAATAGCAAATTCTTTTTTTTAGTATAAATACATCCCAACAGGCATCCAGTAGTTTACCTGGCAACCCAGCATTTAAATAGCTAAGTATTCTATCAGTGAAATAACTTGGTTAGGTCTACTGTGAATATGAATGATTAATGTTCACATGCCACAAAGCAAAAGGGTTAGAAATTCATTTTTGCCGGTCGATGACATAATGCAGCAGCCTATTTTAAGTTGGTTAAATATCTATAAGTGATACAAGTTTGACAATGAGATTCTGGCCCAGGAGTGTAATGAAGACATATTTTTTATTGTACTTCTTATCTCAGATTTCACTGACCATCATTACTTGTAGAAGCCAGAGATCACACCATAGGATCAGGAATCCAAACACATTTTCCCATGGCACATTTTCCAAAGAAGTCAAGTTACTTCACTGATAATACTTGCAGCCTTTCAATTTACTTACCCCAGATCCTTTCATGAAGATGTGAATAAAACTGCAAATGTATATCCAGCGTGCATTTGGGTGTTAGGAAATATTTCTGGCTGTTGAGTGAATTATGGGTGGACACATAGGTGCCCTCCCCAGGTGAGAGAAAAGAGGGTGCTTCTCTGAAATCTGAGTATAATTCAACCCACAGGCAGGTTTTATTTTAAGAAAGTAATAGAACTAATATAATTCCACCTTTCAGAGAAGTTTATTACTTGGTGTTTCAGTTTTGGTGATTGCATAGTAGTAAATAGCTGACAGAGAGTCCAAAGATTATATCTGCTTCCAGACAGTCCATTCATCATGCTTAGCATCTGGATATCAACAGAATTTTCCCACATATTTGCCAAAATGCCACGAAAGTAATCACAAAAAAACTCCATTTTGTTCTACCTAATGCCTTAAATATAGTCAGTGGCTCTGGATCTAGGTTTATTGGAATATTTTTATAATCCACCAATCTCTTTCATCTGAAACTTCATATAACCACTTTCTTAGTTCATAAATCCTTATTTATTTTTAATTTTGCACCAAAAAGGGGATGGACTCCAGTAGTTTAAGAAAGCAATGTAGAAATTATCAGAGAATAATGTAAAAATGACAGAACCCTTAAATATTCTCAAATATTTATCAAGTTTTGGGGACAATATATAAATTCCTGGGTGGCGCAAATGGTCAAGCAATTGACCACTAGCCAAAAGGTTGGTGGTTCAAACCCACACAGAGGTATCTCAAGGGACAGGCCCAGTGATTTGCTTCAAAAAGGTCAGAGCTTTGAAAATTCTGTGGAGTAGTTAGTTCTGCTGTTCTCCACATTCTTTGGTCATGAGTCAGAATCAGTTCCATGGCAACTAACAACAACGTGGTGAATATAAAGTGTTATATATATATATATATATATATATATATATATATATAGTAT